CAATGAGATGGGACCCAAGCTAAGGTGATAGTATAGGAGCAGTTAGATAAAGTACTCAATTTTGCTCGGATTTCGGTCAGGAAATACGAGGAGTGCTTCATCGGCCTCATTGATCGAATAGCCTCCAACGAGCTAAGGCTATCAGTAAAAATAAAATAGTAGAGCCCAAGGCGAACCAGCCAATGGCTGAAAGCCTTGTAAATAAAGGAAAAAAAAAAAAAAAAAAAAAAAAATAAAATAGTGATCAGATGGTAGTGAGGCAATTTGCTCTACTGCGTAAAATATGGCTGCTAGTTCCGCAACGTATACGGAACAGGGTTTTTGCAGTTGATATGAGGCGCTATGAAATTCGTTGAATACTCCAAATCCAGTGGAAGCGTTTATAGTTGACCCATCTGTGAAAAAACTCTTATTGTTACTAACATGGTGGTACTTGTTTGCAAAAATTAAGGGAACAACCATCGATCGATGGTGATCTGGTATTCCACGGATTTCTTGCAACATGGTCAGATCAAAATTTACAGAGGAACTATAAAAGTCTTGGAGGCAAACACGAGAGGAATTGAATGAAGAAGGGCCAATCTCCAGCGTCATGTACTCGTAATAGAGACTCATGAATCTTGTTTGAGGATTTCTGTCGAGCAGCTTCTCAAAGTTTTCTATTACTAATGGGTTCATTACTTCACAACGGATAAGAAACCGGAAGGACAGTTCCGCGAAACGATCTGTCAGTGGGAGAACACCCGCGAGTACTTCAAGGCTCATCGTATGCGTCGAGTGCATACAGCCAAGCGCGATTCGGAGGCAACGGTATTGAACCCGTTGCAGCTTCAGGATATGTGTTTTCGCCGCGGATTGAAAGCAGAAGCTTCCGTACTCTAGAACCGACAAGATGGTTGTTCGGTACAACCTGATCAGATCTTCCGGGTGTGCTCCCCACCAAGTTCCAGTGATTGTACGAAGAAAATTGATTCTTTGTTGGCATTTTTGTTTCACATACGCAATATGTTTTCCCCATGTGCTTTTGGAATCGAACCAGACACCTAAATACTTGAAAGATATACTTTGAGTGATTGTTCTACCCTTTAGTTGAAGCTGTAACTGTGCAGGATGATGCTTCCTAGAAAAAACAACCAACTCAGTTTTCTCCGGAGAGAATTCGATACCCAGCTTCATAGCCCAAGTAGACAAATTGTCTAAGGTATCTTGCAATGGTCCTTGCAGGTCCGGTGCACTTGGCCCTATAACGGATACAACGCCGTCATCTGCAAGCTGCCTTAGCGAGCAATTTTCATCAAGACAACCATCAATGTCTTTTACATAAAAATTATAAAGAAGGGGGCTTAAACATGAACCCTGGGGGAGACCCATGTAACTAAATCGTGAAGTTGTCGAGTTTCCATGAGAAAAGCTCATATATTTCTCAGATAACAAGTTGCACAAATAGTTGTTCATAATTGGTGAAAGCCCACTATCGTGGAGTTTATCCGAAAGGACATCGATACAAACAGAATCAAAAGCCCCCTTAATGTCCAAGAAAACTGAACCCATTTGCTGTTTTTGCGCATAGGCCAGTTGAATTTCAGTTGAAAGCAACGCAAGACAGTCGCTCGTTCCTTTGCCTCTCCGAAATCCAAATTGCGTATCTGAAAGTAAACCATTCGACTCGACCCATTTGTCTAGACGAAAAAGAATCATTTTCTCCAACAATTTCCGTATACAGGACAGCATCGCGATGGGACGGTACGAGTTATAATCCGACGCGGGTTTACCGGGTTTTCGAATGGCGATAACTCTTACTTCCCTCCAGTCATCCGGAACAATGTTGTGCTCCAGAAATTGATTGAATAAGTTCAACAAGCGTCTCTTCGCGACATCTGGGAGATTTTTAAGCAAGTTGAACTTGATTCTATCCATTCCTGGAGCTGAATTGTTACATGAAAGGAGAGCAAGTGAGAATTCCACCATCGAAAACGGGGAATCTATTTCGTTATTACCCGACGGACGATCACGAACGTTGGTTTGAACCGACACCGAATCCGGGCAAACTTTCCGCGCGAAGCTGAATATCCAACTGTCCGAGTACTCCTTGTCTTCGTTAATCGGTGATGACGCGTTTCGCATTCTCCTGCCGACATTCCAGAGTGTTCTCATGGAAGTCTCTCGCGACAAACCATCGACGAACCGACGCCAGTAACCGCGTTTTTTTGCTTTAATTAAGTCCTTAAAAGTTTTCTCGAGGTCGGTGTACCGCTCGAAATCCCCGACCTTGCCGTGTTTGCGGAACCGTTTAAACGCGGCGGACTTCTCGCTGTTCGCGTCGGTGCAATCCTTATCCCACCACGGGGTGGGAGGTCGCTTGCGGACGGAAATACCCGGAACACGTTTCGTCTGTGCTCGCAGCGCAGAATCGATGATAAGACGCGCGAGAAAGGAGTACTCGTCCAGCGAAGGAAGTACGTCAACCGATTGGCTGGCATCAAGAACCGCGGTCGCGAATTTTCGCCAGTCAATGTTTTTTGTAAGATCGTACGCGATGTCGACCGAACGAGTAGAAGATGAACCATTGGTAATAGAAATTTTGATTGGCAAATGGTCACTACCGTAGGGATCTTGAATTACTTTCCACGAGCAATCCAACGATAGTGAACTCGAACAAAGTGAGAGGTCTAATCTGCTTATTTTTGCTGGAGGTTTAGCTACTCGTGTTGCTTCCCCGGTGTTCAGAATTGTCATTTTGAAGAAGTCGCACATGTCGTATATCAAGGTTGAGCGGTTGTCGTCGTACAGTTCCCCCCAGCCTGTACCGTGAGAGTTAAAATCTCCCAAGATCAACCGTGGCTCCGGCATAGCCGTGCAGATATCCGAGAAACTTTGACGAGAAATCGCAGTTCGCGGTGGAAGATATACTGAGGCAATACTGAGGCATTTACCTCGAATATTAACCTGACATGCAACAACTTCAATGCCTGTCACCGAAGGCAGATCGATTCTGTAGAAGGAATGGAGCTTGTTGATCCCCAGAAGCACCCCTCCATACGAATCTGCGCGGTCAAGGCGAATAATGTTGAAATCGTGGAAAGCAAGATCGTTGTCTGAAGAGAGCCATGTTTCACAAAGGGCAAATGCATCAGAAAGTGAGTTGTTAACTAAAAATTTAAATGTGTCAAGTTTTGGCATAAGACTTCTACAGTTCCACTGAAGAACAGAGATCATATCCCCGACCTCATTCGGAGAATTATCCATCGAAAGATATGATCGATGCAAGGAAGGACCACCTAGAAGCTAGTTGCTTCAAAAGAGTTTTCACCATTGGCAGCACTAAATTAATAATGCTCCTCGTTGAGTCAGAGACATTGAATATACTGAAGAAGCTATCCACAATACCAGAAAACGTGAACATGGGGGCATGTTCTTGCTGATTATTCAGCTGCTTTTCTGGCCGAAAAACTGGGACATCTGGGGTTTTAGATGATCCTGGAAGTGACGGAAAGTTCTTGTCATAATTACAAGGTTTATAACCCGGTGGAATGGGTTTCGGTGTATTTCCGTTACCTCTTGAATTTTCCAAGGTGGAAGGGTGGTCCGTACGAGTGGCCTTACGAGGCTTTTCGGTGGTGTGTTGTTTTGCTCGTTTTCTCGTATTGCCTTTAAAGACAAACGGACTACCCTCACCGCCCTCTGAGTCAGAGTCTAGATCATCAACTGGCAAAATGGAGAACGTGTTACTGTTTTTTGGTGTGGTCTGAGAAGATGAAGCGGTATTCTTCAAGAGTTCTGCTAGTGTTCTCTTGGAGCGAGCTTGCAGAGACCGCTTAAGTTTTTCTCCCTGCTGTTTATACCTCGGGCAGTTAGTCAGGGTATGCAGGCTCTCCTTGCAGTACACGCATTTTGGTGGAGCACCGCAAGGGCCCTCTTGATGTTGCTCGCCACACTGATCGCAGCGTGGTTTGTTCGAGCAGTAGTCCGATGTATGACCAAGTTGTTTACATTTCGAGCAGTTCATTACCCGAGGTACAAACAGGCGTACAGGCAGCCGAACCTTGCCAATAGCGACGTAGTGAGGTAACGCTGAACCCGAAAACGTCACACGAAACGAGTTTGACAAGGAATAAGTTTTTTTGGAGCCTACTACGGATACTGACTGCATTTGAAGGCAGTCCAATATCTTCACCTTCGGCAGAGCACGGTTTTTAAAGATTCCGAAGGAATCGGGACCCAAGAAATCATCACTAGTCAAACTCGCTTCGGTGACCACTCCTTCAATTTCTACCTCACTACTGGGTATGTAGACTCGGTATTCCAATGAAAAAAGCTCGCACGCAACAATTTGGTTAGCCTGCTTCCGGTCATCAACGGTAACGCGCAGTTTTATTGGTGTTACCTTGAAAATATCGGTAACGGCCGAAAAATGTGTTGTTAGATCCTTAGAGATCCTCGGAATGTTCAAAGGTTTTTGTTTGGGCCGGAAAAAAACAACCCATGGGCCTTTCGAGGCTTCTGGGTAAGCCTTTAGGCGGGGGAGCGCAGAGATTTTTGGGGGCAATGGTGTGGGGGGTGCAGGACGAGGAGGTGATGGTGGGGGAGAGGGATGTGGGGGATACCTTTTCTTGGGATATGCTCCAGTATTTTTGCTGGAGAGCGAGTCAACTGGGACGTCAAGGGTTTCCATTTCCACAACTTCCTCGAGACTTTCGTGTGAGGAATTAAGAGTTTCGTCGTCTGAGATGGAAAGCGACCATCCCCCGCCTTTATCATTTTCATCCATTGCGGTTAAATATCGCCACAATGGTGTTTTTTGTAAAAAAATTTACAAATAATTGCAGTAATTTCAAATAATATCAAAAAAAAAATATATATATATATATAGTTTCACTCCACTAACGAGTAATACATGCAAAGAAAAAAAAAATAAAAAAAAAATAAAAAAAAATAATGATTATATATTATTTACAGAGTTTTGGATCACCCTAAGTAATACAAAAATAATAATAAAAAAAAAAAATCATAAAGATAATCTTGGTATAAAATTTAATATTCCCTTATTAATTAATAAACTTCGTCTTCCTATACGTTCATAAGAAATATTTGCTAAACAAAATAAACCAGAAGAACATAATCCATGAGCAATTATTAAAGTATAAGAACCATTTAATCCTCAATAAGTTATAGTTATTAAACCTCTTAAAACAATTCCTATATGAGCAACAGAAGAATAAGCAATTAAAGCCTTTAAATCTATTTGTCATAAACAAATTAATCTTACTAAAACTCCCCCAATTAATCTAATTCTAATTCAAATAAAATTAAATTTTATACCTAAACTCTGTAAAATAGAAAAAACTCGAAGTAATCCATATCCTCCTAATTTTAATAAAACTCCAGCTAAAATTATTGAACCAGAAACTGGAGCTTCTACATGAGCCTTAGGAAGTCATAAATGAACTAAAAACATTGGTATTTTTACTAAAAAAGCAAATACTATACATAAATATAAAAAATCTAAATTGTATAAATTTTTATAACTTAATATAATAAAATTTATTGTATAATTATCATTTTTAATAAAAAAATACCAATTAATAAAGGTAAAGAAGCTAATAAAGTATAAAATAATAAATAAATTCCTGCCTGTAATCGTTCAGGTTGGTATCCTCAACCTAAAATTAAAAATAAAGTGGGAATTAATCTACTTTCAAAAAATAAATAAAATATAAATATTCTTATAGAACTAAAAGTAAAAATTAATATTAATAATAAAAAAATAATTATAAATAAAAATAAGTTAATATAATTATTGTAACGAACTACCCTTTCTCTTGCTATTAATATTAAACCACAAATTCAAAAACTAAATAAAATTAATCCATATGAAATCATATCCATTCCAAAATAATAAGAAATATCACAAAAATAATAATTTGATCTAATTTTAAGTATAAATAAACTAGTAGATAAAAAAATCAAATTCTGAACCATTCAGTAAATATTTTTTTTAAAAAACAAAAAAAATATAAATAAAATTATAAAAATAAATTTTAACATTGTAAAATAGAAAAACTTTGAAAATAATCATTACCATGAGTCCGAATTATAGAAACTAAAATAGATAAACCTAAAACTCCTTCACAAACACAAAAAGTTAAAAAAAATATACTAAAGTATCTTTCATAATTTATAAAATTTAAATATAAAAATAATAATATAAATAATATTAATACTATAAATTCTAATCTTAATAAAGTACATAATAAATGTTTTCGACTAGAAATAAATACAATACATCCAAAAATAAATATAATAATTATTAAATAACACATAAATAAATTTACCATTAGTTTTAATAGTTTAAAAAAAACATTAGTCTTGTAAACTAAAAATAAAAAAAAAAAATTTTTAAAACTTCAAGAAAAAAGATACTTCCTTTTCATTAACTCCCAAAGTTAATATTTTATTATAAACTATTTCTTGATATTATAATATTTATTATATTAACCTCTTTTATTACTAGATTTATTTTTATACAAATAAAACACCCTTTAGCAATAGGATTAATACTACTAATTCAAACTTTTTTAACTTCTTTATTAACTGGATTATATGTAAAAACATTTTGATTTTCTTATGTATTATTTTTAATTTTTATAGGAGGAATATTAGTTTTATTTATTTATGTAACATCTCTTTCATCAAATGAAATATTTTCAATATCATTTAAATTATCATTTATAGTAATTATAATAATAATAATTTTCATAATTTTTTCTTTCTTTATTGGTAAATCAATTATTGAAAATTTTATTAATAATAATGAAATAAATTTATTTTTTTATAACTCTTTAATACCAGAAAATTTAATTGAACTAAATAAAATATATAACTTTCCTACAAATTTAATTACTTTAATATTAATTAATTATTTATTTTTAACACTATTAGTAACAGTAAAAATTACAAAAAAAAATTATGGACCTTTACGTCCAATAAATTAATGACTAAATCATTACGAAAAACTCACCCTTTATTTAAAATTGCTAATAATGCATTAGTAGATTTACCTGCCCCTTCTAATATTTCTGCTTGATGAAATTTTGGTTCATTATTAGGATTATGTCTTATTATTCAAATTTTAACTGGATTATTTTTAGCTATACATTACACTGCTGATATTGAAACAGCTTTTAATAGAGTAAATCATATTTATCGAGATGTTAATAATGGATGATTTTTACGAATTTGTCATGCTAATGGAGCTTCCTTTTTTTTTGCTTGCTTATTTATCCATGTAGGACGAGGAGTTTATTATAATTCTTATTTATTTACTCCAACATGAATAATTGGAGTAATTATTTTATTTATAGTAATAGCAACCGGATTTTTAGGATATGTTTTACCATGAGGACAAATATCCTTTTGAGGTGCCACAGTAATTACAAATCTTTTATCAGCAGTTCCTTATTTAGGAACAGATCTTGTTCAATGAATTTGAGGAGGATTTGCAGTTGATAATGCTACTTTAACACGATTTTTTACATTCCATTTTATTTTACCTTTTATTGTACTAGCTTTAACAATAATTCATTTATTATTTTTACATCAAACAGGTTCAAATAATCCATTAGGATTAAATAGAAATGTAGATAAAATTCCATTTCATCCTTATTTTATTTATAAGGACGTATTTGGATTTGTAATTTTTATTTGAATTTTAATTGGATTTATTTGAAAATTTAATTATTTATTAATAGACCCAGAAAATTTTATTCCTGCTAACCCTTTAGTTACTCCTGTTCATATTCAACCAGAATGATATTTTTTATTTGCTTATGCAATTTTACGATCAATTCCTAATAAATTAGGAGGAGTAATTGCATTAGTATTATCTATTGCTATTTTAATAATTTTACCTTTTACTCATATTAGTAAATTCCGAGGACTTCAATTTTATCCATTAAATCAAATTTTATTTTGAAATATAGTAATTGTAGCTTCTTTATTAACATGAATTGGAGCACGACCTGTAGAAGATCCTTATGTTTTAACAGGACAAATTTTAACAGTTTTATATTTTTCTTATTTTTTAATTAATCCTTTATTAACTAAATATTGAGATAAATTATTAAATTAATTAATAAGCTTTTATAGCATATGTCTTGAAAACATAAGAAAGAAGTAAATCCTTCTATTAATTTTTTTTTATACTAAAAAATATTCATTAAAATAATAAAGATAAAATAAAAATTTTTAAACCAATAAAAAAAAATAAATAATTTAAAGATATAGGTAAAAATCTTTTTCAAGCTAAATATATCAATTTATCATAACGAAATCGAGGTAAAGTACCACGTACTCAAATAAATAAAAAAGAAATTATAGTTAATTTAAAAAAAAATATAATTCTATAAATATCTCTACCTAAAAACATTACTCTAAATAACATTCTTATAAATAAAATACTTGAATATTCAGCTAAAAAAATTAATGCAAAACCTCCTCTTCTATATTCAACATTAAATCCAGAAACTAACTCAGACTCTCCTTCAGCAAAATCAAAAGGAGTACGATTAGTTTCAGCTAAACATGAAGCAAATCAAACTAAAGCTAAAGGAAAACAAAATACAATAAATCAAATATATTTTTGATATAAATAAAAATTTAAAAAATTATAATTACCAATTAAAAAAATAAAACTTAATAAAATTAAAGCTAAACTTACTTCATATGAAATAGTTTGAGCAACTGCCCGTAAACCTCCTAATAAAGCATAATTTGAATTAGAAGATCAACCAGCTACTATAACAGTATAAACACCCAATCTTGTAATACATAAAAAAAATAAAACCCCTAAGTTAAATGAATATAATTTAATTAAATAAGGTATACATATTCAAATTAAAAGAGATAAAAATAAAGAAAAAATGGGAGAAAAATAATAAAAAATATAATTTGATAATAAAGGATAAGTTTGTTCCTTAGTAAATAACTTTACAGCATCTCTAAAAGGTTGTAATAACCCTATAAATCCTACTTTATTTGGTCCTTTACGAATTTGAATATAACCTAAAACTTTACGTTCTAATAAAGTTAAAAAAGCAACTCCAACTATAACACAAATAACTAATAATAAACTTCCAATTAATGATAATAAATAATCTATTAAAAACAATACTATTTATAATTAATTAAATTATATAAATAAATTCTAAATTTATTGCACTAATCTGCCAAAATAGTTTATTAAATATTAATATTATTCATAATTTTAAAATCTATATTTTTTATATTAGGTCCTTTCGTACTATAATATAATAATTTAATTAAGGATAGAAACCAACCTGGCTTACACCGGTTTGAACTCAGATCATGTAAGAATTCAAAGGTCGAACAGACCTAAACTTTAAACTTCTACACCTAAAAATAACTCTTAATCCAACATCGAGGTCGCAATCTTTTTTGTCGATATGAACTCTAAAAAAAAATTACGCTGTTATCCCTAAGGTAACTTAATTTTTTAATCAATATAACTGGATCAATTATTCATATATTAATGTAAATAAATAATAAAAGTTATTTAAATTTTATGGTATTAAAATTTTTTATTAAAATATAAATTTAATTATTCTTTTTAATTTATAATCAACAAAAATAAAGATCTATAGGGTCTTCTCGTCCTTTAATTACATTTTAACTTTTTAATTAAAAAATAAAATTCTATAAAAATTTAAAAAAGACAGTATATATCTCATTCAACCATTCATACAAGCCTCCAATTAAAAGACTATTGATTATGCTACCTTCGCACAGTCAGAATACTGCGGCCCTTTAATATTATCAGTGGGCAGGTTAGACTTTAAATTAAATTCAAAAAGACATGTTTTTGATAAACAGGTGAATATATAATTTGCCGAATTCCTTATTTAAACCTTTCATTTTAAATAATTTATATAAATTAAATATACTAATTTTATCATAATTAATAAATTTTAATAATTAAAATTTATATTTTAATAAATAATTTAATTTAACAATAAATAATAAAAAATTTAAAATAAATTATAACAAATTTATTAATGATAACTATTTTTAAGCTTACATTTATTAAAATATTTTATTTAAAATTTAAAAATTTATTTTAAAGCTAATCCCTTAAAATATTAATTTTATAAAATAAAAATATTAAAAAAAATAAAATTTTTAATTTATAAATCTAAATTAAATTTATTTCTTAAAAAACTAGATATATTTTAAAACGATTAACATTTCATTTCTAATTATATATTTAAAATAATTATGCTACAGTAACTTTTATATATAATTAAATCTTTAAAATTCGAGAAAAATTAATATAATAATTAATTAATTAATAAACCCTGATACACAAGGTACAATAAATTAAATTTTCTTTTAAAATAAAAATTTTTCAAATTATTTCAATTTTCTTTTACAATACTAATAAACTATTATTAAAATTATTTTTTCTTTAAAAAATACTAAAACAAATAAATATAAAATTATTTTTATTAAATAAATATAAAAATACATAAAATTAATAAATAAAATTTAATCAATTTAAATTGATTTGCACAAATTTCTTTTCAATGTAAATGAAATACTTTACTAATTAAGCTTTAAATTGTCTTTCTAGATACACTTTCCAGTACATCTACTATGTTACAACTTATCTTATTTTAAAAATAAGAACGATGGGCGATATGTGCATGTTTTAGAGCTAAAATCATATAAATAATCTATTTTATATTACTATTAAATCCACCTTCAAATTTATATTTCAAAAAATTATCCATTTAAATAAATTTATTGTAATCCATCTCTACTTAAATATAAACTGCACCTTGACCTGACATTTTATTTAATCTAATATTAAGAAAATTTTTATCTTATAACATATTCTGATGACGGCGATATACAAATTAAACAAATTTAAGTAAGGTTCAATGTGGATTATCAATTACAGGACAGATTCCTCTAAATAGACTAAAACACCGCCAAATTTTTTAAATTTTAAGAATATAACTAATACTACTTTAGTATTTAAATATTTATTTTCAATAATAGGGTATCTAATCCTAGTTTATTATAAAAAGTTTATAGCTTAAATCAATCTTTTTAATAATAAATAAATAAATTTAAAAATTTCACCTAATAAATTTATATTTATATTATTAAATTTTATAATTTAACTAATACTAAAAATTTTTACTTGTATTATTTGTATAACCGCGGTAGCTGGCACAAATTTTACCAATACTATATATTATTACTAATACAAAATTTCTTTTTTAATTAATATTAATTACTGCGAATAAATTAATTAATTTAATTTTTTAAAAATTAAATCATTTCATACAAAAATTTACATGTAAAATAAAATAATAATAAAAATATTAACCAAAATAAAATAATATTTATTATTAAAATAAAAAATTATAAATAAATAATAAAACTAAAAACATAAATTATTATTTAAATATTTAAAATTATATATTATAAAAAGATTAATTTATATATTATTAAATAATATAAAATAGTATATTCCTAGCAAAAATCAATCAATAAAAATTAACCCCTTAATTTAATTTTTATTTTTAAATATTAAAAAAATTATAAATAAATAATAAAACTAAAAACATAAATTATTATTTAAATATTTAAAATTATATATTATAAAAAGATTAATTTATATATTATTAAATAATATAAAATAGTATATTCCTAGCAAAAATCAATCAATAAAAATTAACCCCTTAATTTAATTTTTATTTTTAAATATTAAAAAAATTATAAATAAATAATAAACTAAAAACATAAATTATTATTTAAATATTTAAAATTATATATTATAAAAAGATTAATTTATATATTATTAAATAATATAAAATAGTATATTCCTAGCAAAAATCAATCAATAAAAATTAACCCCTTAATTTAATTTTTATTTTTAAATATTAAAAAAATTATAAATAAATAATAAAATAAATTATAATAATATATACAATTAAAAATAATAATTATCTTTAAATTAATTTAAATAAATTTATGAATAAATAAATTATTTAAGTAACCTTTTAAATATTATTTTATAAAATTTATAAATAAATAAACAATTTAAGTATTAAATTAATTTTTTTTTTTTTTATTATATAAAATTTTATATTAAATATAATTTATTTATATTTATATATATATTATAATAAATAATTTATTAATAAATATATTATTTATATAAATAAATAATTAAATATAAATTATTTATTATAATATATTATATATATATATATTAAATTATTTATAATTATTATATTTATATATATAATTAATTATGCTTATAATTAATTAATAATTTATATAAATCTATTTTATATTAATATAATTTTTTTATATATTAATTTGCTTATTTTTTTCCTTCATTTAGGACCCATAGGCTTATAAATACTTCACTGTTATTTATATAAGATCCATAATTTATCTTATCATTACTATATATATATTTATTTAATATAAATTATTTATTATATATATATATATCTATTATAATAAATAATTTATATTAATTTATTTATTTATATATATATATATATATATTATAATAAATAATTTATTAATAAATATATTATTTATATAAATAAATAATTAAATATAAATTATTTATTATAATATATTATATATATATATATTAAATTATTTATAATTATTATATTTATATATATAATTAATTATGCTTATAATTAATTAATAATTTATATAAATCTATTTTATATTAATATAAATTTTTTATATATTAATTTGCTTATTTTTTTTCTTCATTTAGGACCCATAGGCTTATAAATACTTCACTGTTATTTATATAAGATCCATAATTTATCTTATCATTACTATATATATATTTATTTAATATAAATTATTTATTATATATATATATATCTATTATAATAAATAATTTATATTAATTTATTTATATATATATATATATTAAAATAAATAATTTATTAATAAATATATTATTTATATAAATAAATAATTAAATATAAATTATTTATTATAATATATTATATATATATATTAAATTATTTATTATTATTATATTTATATATATAATTAATTATGCTTATAATTAATTAATAATTTATATAAATCTATTTTATATTAATATAAATTTTTTATATATTAATTTGCTTATTTTTTTTCTTCATTTAGGACCCATAGGCTTATAAATACTTCACTGTTATTTATATAAGATCCATAATTTATTTTATCATTACTATATATATATTTATTTAAAATAAATTATTTATTATATATATATATATCTCTATATATTATTTAATTTATATAAATATTTAATTAATATATAAATATTTATATGATATTAAAAATAAATATTTAATTAATATATAAACATTTATATATATATATAATTAATTAACACACAAATATTTAAATAATAATGGTAATTTTATAAATTTACATTAAATCTGAACCATTTTTTTCTTTTTTTATTATAATAATAAAATAAAATTTAATGAATTGCCTGATAAAAAGGATTACCTTGATAGGGTAAATCATAAAGATTTAATGCTTTATTCATTATTATATCTAATAGAATTAAACTATTTCCAAAAGCTTCAAAAACTTTTGTGCATCATACACTAAAATATAAAAAGATAAGCTAATTAAGCTATTGGGTTCATACCCCACTTATAAAGGTTATAATCCTTTGCTTTTTAATTAAAAAAATTTCTAATAATATTTTTCTTATTATATTAATTTCAGGATCTTTAATTACTATTTCTTCTAATTCTTGATTAGGAGCATGAATAGGGTTAGAAATTAATTTACTATCATTTATTCCCTTAATAAATGAAGGTAAAAAAAATTAAATAACTTCAGAAAGTAGATTAAAATATTTTTTAACTCAAGCTTTTGCTTCATCAATTTTATTATTTGCAATTATTTTAATAATATTATTTTTTAATAATAATTGAATAATAAATAACAATTTTAATGATTTATTAATTTTATCAACTTTATTATTAAAAAGAGGAGCAGCTCCTTTTCATTTTTGATTCCCAGGAGTAATAGAAGGATTAAATTGAATCAATAGTTTAATCTTAATAACTTGACAAAAAATTGCTCCTTTAATATTAATTTCATATAATATAAATTATAATTTTTTTTTAATTTCTATTATTTTATCAATAATTATCGGAGCTTTAGGAGGATTAAATCAAACTTCTTTACGTAAATTAATAGCATTTTCTTCAATTAATCATTTAGGATGAATACTTATAGCTATAATAAATAATGAATTATTATGATTTACTTATTTTTTTTTTATTCAATTTTATCAATATCAATTATTTTGATATTTAATAATTTTAAATTATTCCATTTTAATCAAATTTTTAATTTTTCAATAATAAATCCTATAATTAAATTTTTTATATTTTTAAATTTATTATCTTTAGGAGGATTACCTCCATTTTTAGGATTTTTACCTAAATGATTAGTAATTCAAAATTTAGTTGAATTAAATCAAATTTTTTTATTATTTATTGCAGTCTGTTTAACTTTAATCACTTTATATTATTATTTACGAATATCATATAGTATTTATATATTAAATTATAACAAAAATTCATGAATACTAATAAATTCTTATAATAATAAAAAAATAAATTTAATTTTAACTATAAATTTTATTTCAATTATAGGATTAGTTATCATTACTTTAATTTATATAATTCTATAATAAGAATTTAAGTTAAAAAAACTAATAGCCTTCAAAGCTGAAAATATTTGTACTAATCCTTTAATTCTTAAACTTTAATAATTAAAAAATTATTCCTTCAGAATTGCAGTCTAATATCATTATTGAATATAAAGTTTGATTAAAAAGAATTATTCTTATATATAAATTTACAATTTATCGCCTAAACTTCAGCCATTTAATCGCGACAGTGATTATTTTCAACAAATCATAAAGATATTGGTACATTATACTTTATTTTCGGAGTTTGATCAGGAATAGTTGGAACATCATTAAGAATCTTAATTCGTGCTGAATTAAGCCAACCAGGAATATTTATTGGAAATGACCAAATTTATAATGTAATTGTTACAGCTCATGCTTTCATTATAATTTTTTTTATAGTAATACCAATTATAATTGGAGGATTTGGAAATTGATTAGTTCCTTTAATATTAGGAGCACCAGATATAGCATTTCCTCGAATAAATAATATAAGTTTTTGAATATTACCTCCTTCATTAACACTCCTCCTTTCAAGTAGTATAGTAGAAAATGGATCAGGAACAGGATGAACAGTTTATCCCCCTCTTTCATCAGGAACTGCTCATGCTGGAGCTTCAGTTGATTTAACTATTTTTTCTCTTCATTTAGCAGGGGTAACTTCAATTTTAGGAGCAGTAAATTTCATTACTACTGTTATTAATATACGATCTTCAGGAATTACATTAGATCGATTACCTTTATTTGTATGATCTGTTGTAATTACAGCTGTATTATTACTTTTATCATTACCAGTTTTAGCTGGAGCTATTACAATATTATTAACAGATCGAAATTTAAATACTTCATTTTTTGATCCAATTGGAGGAGGAGATCCTATTTTATATCAACATTTATTTTGATTTTTTGGACACCCAGAAGTTTATATTTTAATTTTACCCGGATTTGGTATAATTTCTCATATTATTACTCAAGAAAGAGGAAAAAAGGAAACTTTTGGAACTTTAGGAATAATTTATGCTATACTAACAATTGGATTATTAGGATTTATTGTTTGAGCTCATCATATATTTACAGTAGGAATAGATGTAGATACTCGAGCATATTTTACATCTGCTACAATAATTATTGCAGTTCCTACAGGAATTAAAATTTTTAGATGATTAGCTACTCTTCATGGAACTCAATTAACTTATAGTCCTGCTTTACTTTGATCACTAGGATTTGTATTTTTATTTACAGTTGGAGGATTAACAGGAGTAGTCCTAGCTAATTCTTCAATTGATATTGTATTACATGATACATATTATGTAGTTGCCCATTTTCATTATGTATTATCAATAGGAGCTGTATTTGCTATTATAGCAGGATTTATTCACTGATATCCTTTATTAACAGGATTAGTTATAAATCCTTCATGATTAAAGGCACAATTTGTTATAATATTTATTGGAGTAAATTTAACATTTTTCCCACAACATTTCTTAGGATTGGCCGGAATACCACGACGATATTCTGATTTTCCAGATAGTTATTTAGCTTGAAATATTGTATCTTCATTAGGAAGAACTATTTCTTTATTTGGAATTATTTTTTTTATATTTATTATTTGAGAAAGTATAATTTCACAACGTAGTATTGCTTTCCCAATACAATTATCTTCATCAATTGAATGATATCATACTCTTCCTCCTGCTGAACATACTTATTCAGAATTACCATTACTTTCTTCTAATTTCTAATATGGCAGATTAGTGCAATGAATTTAAGCTTCATATATAAAGATTATTATCTTTTATTAGAAAATGGCAACATGAGCAAATTTAGGACTTCAAGATAGTTCATCTCCTTTAATAGAACAATTAAACTTTTTTCATGATCATACTCTTTTAATTTTAATTATAATTACTGTATTAATTGCTTATATTATATTTATATTATTTTTTAATAAATTTACTAATCGATATTTACTACATGGACAAACAATTGAAATTATCTGAACAATTTTACCCGCAGTAATTTTAATATTTATTGCTTTCCCTTCATTACGTTTATTATATTTAATAGATGAAATTAATTCACCTTTAATTACTTTAAAAGCTATTGGTCATCAATGATACTGAAGTTATGAATATTCTAATTTTTTAAACTTAGAATTTGATTCATATATAATTCCTACAAATGAATTAGATATTAATGGATTTCGATTACTAGATGTTGATAACCGAATTATTTTACCTATAAATAATCAAATTCGAATTTTAGTAACTGCAACTGACGTACTACATTCATGAACTATTCCTTCCTTAGGTGTAAAAATTGATGCAACACCTGGACGATTAAATCAAACAAATTTCTTAATTAATCAACCAGGATTATTTTTCGGTCAATGTTCAGAAATTTGTGGAGCAAATCATAGTTTTATACCAATTGTAATTGAAAGAATTCCTATAAATTATTTTATTAAATGAATTTCTTCTCAAATAAATTCATTAGATGACTGAAAGCAAGTAATGATCTCTTAAATCATATTATAGTAAATTAGCAATTACTTCTAATGATTAAATATTATTAAAAAAATTAGTTTTATAAAAACCTTAGTATGTCAAACTAAAAAAATTAGTATTAATCTAATATTTTTTAATTCCTCAAATAGCACCTATTAGATGATTAACTTTATTTTTAGTTTTTTCACTTACATTAGTAATTTTTAATATTAAAAATTATTTTTGTTTTTCTTATAACTCAAATGAATCTTCCCAAAATCTAAATATTAAACAACATAAAATAAATTGAAAATGATAACAAATCTATTCTCAGTATTTGACCCTTCAACTACTATTTTAAATCTTTCTTTAAATTGATTAAGTACTTTTTTAGGTCTTTTAATTATTCCTTCAACATACTGATTAATACCAAATCGATTCCAAATTATTTGAAATAATATTTTATTAACTCTTCATAAAGAATTTAAAACTTTATTAGGACCTAATGGACATAATGGAAGAACATTAATATTTGTATCCTTATTTTCGTTAATTATATTTAATAATTTTTTAGGATTATTTCCTTATATTTTTACTAGTACAAGTCATTTAACTCTAACTTTAACCTTAGCCTTTCCTTTATGATTAAGTTTTATACTTTATGGATGAATTTGTCATACACAACATATATTTGCTCATTTAGTTCCTCAAGGAACTCCAGCTGTATTAATACCTTTTATAGTATGTATTGAAACAATTAGTAATGTAATTCGACCTGGAACACTAGCTGTTCGATTAACTGCCAATATAATTGCAGGACATCTATTAATAACTTTATTAGGAAATACAGGACCTATATCAACTTCATATATTATTTTATCATTAATTTTAATTACTCAAATTGCTTTATTAGTATTAGAATCTGCAGTTGCAATTATTCAATCTTATGTATTTGCTGTATTGAGTACTCTTTATTCTAGTGAAGTAAATTAATTTATGTCAACACATGCAAACCATCCTTTTCACTTAGTAGATTATAGCCCATGACCTTTAACAGGAGCTATTGGAGCAATAACAACAGTTACAGGTCTTGTTCAATGGTTCCACCAATATGACATTTCTTTATTTTTATTAGGAAATACAATTACTATATTAACAATATATCAATGATGACGAGATATTTCTCGAGAAGGAACTTTTCAAGGACTTCATACTATTCCTGTAACACTAGGATTACGATGAGGAATAATTTTATTTATTATTTCAGAAGTATTTTTTTTTATTTCTTTTTTTTGAGCTTTTTTTTCATAGAAGCTTATCTCCAACAATTGAATTAGGAATAATTTGACCCCCAGTCGGAATTATTGCTTTTAATCCTTTTCAAATTCCTTTATTAAATACAGCTATTTTATTAGCTTCAGGAGTAACAGTTACTTGAGCTCATCATAGTTTAATAGAAAATAATCATACGCAAACTATACAAAGTCTATTTTTTACTGTTCTATTAGGTATTTATTTTTCTATTCTACAAGCATATGAATATATTGAAGCCCCATTTACAATTGCCGATAATGTTTATGGATCAACATTTTTTGTAGCAACTGGATTCCATGGACTTCATGTATTAATTGGAACTTCATTTTTATTAATTTGCTTAATTCGACATATAAACTACCATTTTTCAAGTAGTCATCATTTCGGTTTCGAAGCTGCAGCTTGATATTGACATTTTGTTGATGTAGTTTGATTATTCTTATATATTTCAATTTACTGATGAGGTAGTTAATTTATAAAGTATATATTTGTATATGTGACTTCCAATCACAAGGACTAAATAATTTTAGTATAAATAATTATTATATTATTAATTATAAGATGCATCATTTTTACTATTACAATTATTGTAATAATACTAGCTACAATTTTATCAAAAAAAAACTATTACTGATCGAGAAAAATCATCTCCTTTTGAATGTGGATTTGATCCAATAAATTATTCTCGATTACCTTTTTCATTACGATTTTTTTTAATTGCTATTATTTTTTTATTTTTGATGTAGAAATTGCATTAATTTTACCAATAATTTTAATTATAAAAACATCAAATATAATTAATTGATCAATTACTAGTTTATTTTTTATTTTCATTTTATTAGCAGGATTATATCATGAATGAAACCAAGGAGCTTTAGAATGAAATAATTAAATATGAAGCGATTTATTGCAATTAGTTTCGGCCTAATCTTAGGTGAAATTCACCCATATTTTTTATTTAGGATAATAGTTAATTATAACATTTAATTTGCATTTAAAAAGTATTGAATTTATTCAATTTATCTTAATTAATTGAAACCAAAAAGAGGTATATCACTGTTAATGATATCATTGAATAATTTAATATTCCAATTAAGAAATATAAATGGAATTAAACCATTAAAGATAAAAGTTAGCAGCTTTTTCTTGATCATCATATTTCTTATAAAATTATTTATATAGTTTAAATTTAAACATTACATTTTCACTGTGAAAATAAAAATTTATTTTTTATAAATATTTTATATAATATTTAAAAATTATTATAATTTCCCTAACATCTTCAATGTCATGCTCTAAATATAAGCTATTTAAATTTTTATTATTTTAAAAATAACATTATTATTACCAAAATAATTACTCATAATATATAACTTAATAAATAAATTTTTAAATTATTATTTTGAAATTCCTGAATATATAATGAATAATTTTTTAATTGTATATATAATATTTGACCTCCAAAATATTCACTTCATCCTTGATCAAAACTTTTATAAGAATGTATTCCTAAAATTAATGGTAATTTAATTACACCAATTGTAGAAATAACAGGTATAAATCATATACTCCCAGAAAAAAAACTAAAATTATAAAATACTAATGACTTATTAAAAAAAAATAACTTTACATTTCTAATTAAATAACCTTTTACTCCACCTAAAATACATACTAATAAAGTTAATATTTTTATATAAAAAGGTAAACAAATTATTTCTGGATTAAAAAATATTAATCAATTTAATATTCTCCCTCCAATAATTGCTATTACTATTAAAAAAAAATTCTAAAAGATATAGTTCACCCCCTATCATTTAATATATTTAAAGAAGTTCTATTAAAATCTCCTGTTATTGAATAATAAACTAATCGAAAAGAATAACACACTGTTAAACCAGTAGAAAAAAAAAAAAGAAAAAAAGAAAAAAAATTTATATAAGATAATATAACTATTTCTAAAATTAAATCCTTTGAATAGAATCCTGCTAAAAATGGCATACCACATAATGCTAAATTAGCAATATTAAAACAACTACAAGTTAAAGGTATTCTTATTCTTAAACCACCTATAAAACGAATATCTTGAGCATTTTTAGTATTATGAATAATTACACCAGCACATATAAATAATAAAGCCTTAAATAAAGCATGAGTTAATAAATGAAAAAAAGCTAATTTATAAAAACCAATTGATAAAATTCTTATTATAAGACCTAATTGACTTAATGTAGATAAAGCAATAATTTTTTTTAAATCAAATTCAAAATTAGCCCCTAATCCTGCTATAAATATAGTTAATCCAGAAACTAATAATAAAAATTGGCCTAAAAAAGTATTTTCTAATAAAATATTAAATCGAATTAATAAATAAACTCCTGCTGTTACTAAAGTTGAAGAATGAACTAAAGCTGAAACAGGGGCCGGAGCAGCTATTGCTGCAGGTAATCAAGAAGAAAATGGAATTTGAGCTCTTTTAGTTATAGCAGCTAATATAACTAACCCTCCAATAATTATTATTTCAAAATTTGATTTTATTATGTCTAAATAAAAAATATAATTTCAACTACCATAATTTAATATTCAAGCAATAGCCAATAATAAAGCAACATCTCCAATTCGATTTGATAAAGCTGTTAATATTCCAGCATTATAAGATTTTACATTTTGAAAATAAATAACTAAACAATATGAAACTAAACCTAATCCATCTCATCCTAATAAAATTCTAATTAAATTAGGTCTAATAATTAATATTATTATTGAAAAAACAAATATCAATACTAATAAAATAAAAAGATTTACATTAAAATCTTCTCCTATATATTGATTTCTATAAAAAATTACTAAAGAAGAAATTAATAAAACAAAAGATATAAATATTAAACTTATTCAATCAAATAAAAAAGTTATTACAATTGATATAGAATGAAGAGACACAATTTCTCATTCAATAAAATATACTAAATCTTTTAATAAAAATTTTAATCTTAAAATAAATAAAATAAGTCTAATAGAAATTAAAATATAAAATCTATTTTTACAATAATTAATTAAATAATTCACGATCTAAAATGAAAAATTTCATATCATTGACACCACAAATCAATATTTTTATTAAACTATTTAAATATAATAATTAAATTCATAATATACAAAAATTACTTTTTATAATTAATAAATTTAAAGGTAATCAATGTAATATTAATAATAAAAATTCGCGAACTCTACCTGAAGAAAAAAAATAAACTCCTGAATAAATTTTTCCATGCTGACTATAAGCAAATAAAAATAAAGTATAAGCAGCACTAAAAAAAGATAAAAAAGCTAAACTAATTATTGTTAATCAAGATCAACTTACAATTCTATTTAATAAAGAATAATATGATAACTTTGGCGAGAAAAAACCCTCGCGTGGGGAAAAACTCAAAACTAAATGATAGTGTCGTACAACGAGACCGATGCGACTTGATCGGCTCAGCGTGCGAGACGGAATGGGGGAGCCTTCATGTTCTTGGTGTTTTTCAGCGCTGAGCAAATCTGCTCCACTGTAATATTTTCTGCCGGAGGGACGACACAAGCGGAGGCATCCAAGTTTTGTACGCATTGCGTCCAGTGCTGTAAATTTTCATATCATTCGATTGAAGATGAACCACTACAACCATTCAATCAATTCTGTGTAAACGAATTCTCACATGACCATAATTTGAAGAGCCCCTTTCTCATTCGAAGCTCATTGTCACTGTCAATTGAGTCACTCAGTATCATTTGATATACGACAGTGGAGTATGGAAGAAATCCAGGAAAATGGTCCCGAACAGACAAGTCGACCCGATGTCGGATCAATGTAAGGCTAATTTAAGGTCGATGTCGACCCAATGTCGTGTTAATGTCGGGTCAATTTTGGGTTTATGTCGGGTCAATGTCGGGTCAACATCGGGTTGGGGTTTGATAGAAGTCAGGTTGGTGTCGGGTTGGCTTAGCTTTTTCGCCGGAATGTCGACCAGAGCTCCGTATGTGTGTAGGTTACACTCAATCGAATGATATATAGCGTTCTCAAATGAGAATGATCCATGCCTTCGTCGAATGACTAAGCAACTGATATCATCCATTCGGAGGAGGTCCCCTTTGATAGCGAATAGCTACTTTTCTCATTTTCATCAAAAATGTTCAAATGATTTTGAGAATTTACAGCACTGATTGCGTCACCTGATTTTCGAGCGGACTTTGGATAGTTGAGCCAAGCAAATGCGATGTAGCAATATGATTACCAATCGCATTTGCTTTCTCTTGTGGGGTAATGAGCCGATTGTCATCATTTCCGACTCTGAGAGGAGGAATGGGATTGGGATGAGTTTTCAGCACCTTGGCTACCTTCCAGAATGGACGGGAGCGGTCATCCAGATTCTGGACAACACGCCCGAAACTTTCATTTCGGAGTGAGTCCATTCTGGAAGCAATCTGCCTGTTCAGATCGGCCATTTCATGTTTTTTGCCCAGATCTCCAGTCCTCTGAAACTGGCGTCTACGCACATTTCTCAAGCGAATCAGTAACTGGGTGTGGGAATCAATGTCAACAAACTTACCCCTCACAGCAACTTGTCAAACACACGTCGCGTCTGCCATTGATATGGCCTGGTGGAGTCCTTCCAGAGCCCGGTCGATGTCCTCTACGGTGTCAAGCGG